GCAGGAGGCTGCAGCGTGGCCAAGAGGTGCCATCCGCCTGTCCGTCCATCTGTCCGTCACCAGGGCAGGCGGTTCCCTTCCCAGTCAAGGAAGGCTCCGGAGGTGTCCTGCGAGAGGCTGGCCAGCACGGTCAGGATGCCCCGCACGCTGTGCTCCACCATCAGGGGTGCCTGCAAAAGAGGACAAGGCGCAGCGTCACTGCCGTGGGCTGCGACCAGCACAGAAAGCAGCCGGGCTTGGGCAGACTGGAGGGTGCGCGGCCTGGGGAGCAACACCCAGGGTGCTCATACGGGCATTTTTCCTTATTGCTGCCGCCCCTGCAGTCTGTGCTGGGTGGGGGGACAGGGCTGGCTATCCTGTGCACTTGGCAAGTTACAGCTTGCTGCCTGCTCCCTGCCTGCTCCACCCCAGGAGATGGTCCCGGCAGCCGACAGCATCAGACAACATCCCCTGCCCCAAGTGTCCCTGCCCTCCCTGAGAGATGGGGGTACAGCGGGGGTCCTGCTGACCCTCCCCTGCAGAGCCCAGTACCTTCTCCGTCCCCATGTCGGTCTTCACCCAGCCAGGATGGATGGCTGTGCACAAGATGCCCTTGTCTTGGAGGTCCGCAGCCATGCACCTCGTCACCATGTTCTGGGCAGCCTGGAAGAGGCACCGCCGTGCCAGCCCAACTCGGGGCACGGGTGGGCAAGATGGGGGGACATTTCCCAGACAGAAAATGGCTGTGGAGGTGGGAAATGGGACTTTGCCCTGGGGTAAAGCATCGGCACAACCGGCCTGAAGGGCTCATTCCCAGGTGCTGTTGGTCTTGGTCTCCGTGCTTACGCTTGGGAGAACCAGGCAGGGGGTGGGTGGCCTGGGGCAGGTGGGTCCCCCCATGGGCTCCCCTCCACGGGCACAGTGCACAGCAGAGCATCCCCAGACTCCCCCAGCACCTCACCTTGCTGGCACGGTACGGGTACATGGGGGCCTCTGGCACCCCAAGGCACAGCCCGATGGAGCCCAGTTTGGTGGAGACGTTTATGACCGCGGCCCTGCTGCAGCTCAGCCCCTCCTTCCCCGCACCCTTCGCTGCCTTCTCCAGGAACGGCAGAAATTCCTGACACAAAGAAGCCGGCTCTCTGTTAATATGTGACAAGCCCCGAGCTTGAGGACCACCCTGGAGGTCTCTGTTGCAGCCTGTGGACGAGCAGCTGGACAGAGACCCCTGGCAGAAGGGCAGGGGATGGGGAGGATGCCCCAAGGATGGGCCAGGCTCCAGTCTTTCGCTTCCCCAGGGAAGGAGCGAGGCAGCACAGCCAGCCCAGGGCAGGCAGGAGCTCCAGCTGGGGAGGAGCAAAGCATGGGAGATGCCGGGGCCAAGCTGAGCTGCCTCCCTGCTTCTCTGGGTGGGAAGATGAGACCCGTGGTCCTGGTCTTGCCCCCATCAGCCTGCCTCGTTCGAGAGAGCAAGAACCCACCCAGCTGAGGGCACCTTTGCCATGGGGAATATCTCCCCAGGCAGGAGAAACCCAAAAGGTCCACACATACCTTGGCAACCTGGAGTGGCCCGACCACGTTGGTGGCAAACGTGGAGAGCATCTCCTGAGAATCCAGGGAGCGCAGTGTGGCGTGCGAGCTGACGCCCGCGTTGTTGATGAGCAGGTTCAATCCCTGGTCCTTCAGATGAGACCCCACAGCCCGTACGGCCCCTCGGATGCTGGGCAAGTTCACTGTGTCTGCTGGGGCAAAACACAAAGTGGAGGAGAGCTGCAGCGGGTCACGCAGCGTCGGCTGGAAAGCATGCTGTGGCTGGAATGGCTCTCTTTAAACCAGCATTATCCAAAAAGAAAGGAGCAGGCTTAGCAGGTCAGGGTGTTAAACACATCGAGATGAGCAGCAGTTTGGTCTCACCTCTTGGTTTCGCAGCCCTAGCTGAATTAAACCGCGATTCAGCTCCTTTTTGGTCATATGGAGGCTACTGGTAAGAAGAATTTAGCTGTATTTGCTTTCTGTATTCAAGGAATTTATGATTGCACAAGGGATGCTCGGTCCTTGCACACTGAGGCTCCCAGTTTTATTTCCACCAGGAGCCAACACAGTCAGATGGGCACATTTTAAGGAGACACCATCTTTGGGGAAACAACCTAACTACATTCTTCGAGCCCTTCTGTATTGCACAGCGGCTATAGGAGCTGTTAATATTTTATTAATTTTATTTTGAATTACGTGAAGATCTTTCCTGGTTGATACCTGTTCTGACTGATCACTTAGAGTTATCTTTGCCTTTTTTAAAATTTCTGCTTAAATTGATCTTCCACAACACAACTTCCCACCGCTTTGCAGCCATTTGTATGCAAAATCCTTCCTTTTTTCCTTTCTTTTTTTTTTTTTCTTTAGATCTTTTTGCTTGACATTACCAACAAGGATTTGGACCTGACAGATGAGCTGAGGTGAGTGCAAGTAATAAAAGATTTGGGATCTAACCTGCAGTGTTTGTTTGCAGGCTCTGAGTCTGAACCTCCCCATCCTTACAGATGCTCTTGCCAGGCTGTGGGGACAACCCCCCTCAAGCAACCAGAAACAACTGACCTCCCTGAAATTGTGCTAGCAGACGTAAGCATTTCCAGTGCCTTTTTCTTCACTTAAATATTGGTGTATCTTTGAAAATCTGCCATGCTTTACTTGCAGGTATTTTTTGGCTAAAGCAATAGGAGATTGTGCTAACAGAGGTAAGCATTTCCAGTGCTTCACTTAAATATTGGTGTATCTTTGAAAATCTGCCATGCTTTACTTGCAGGTATTTTTTGGCTAAAGCAATAGGAGTGGTATTTTTTAAGTTTATGTTCAGCTTTTGGGTTTGCTTGTTAGGATGTGCATCCCCTGCCGGGTGCTTGCCCCACTGAAGTGGCCGCTGTCGATTTAAAAGGGGTTATCTAAACACCTTCAGGATCTGAAAACTTTATATATTGCCTTTTAATATCCCAAGTACACCACCAAGCCCTTAAGAACCATGAATATTCATGCATATGGGCATGTTGGAGTGTGCCTTTGCTCCCCGCGCACATTTCTGCACGCATTTTTTGCTGGTGCTAATCTGATGAGCCTGCTGGGTGCAGGGGATCGCAGAGCTAGATTTCTTTTTTGCGACACTTTGGCCCCCAAGCGGTGTTTCTGTTCTCACGCTTAGACAAGACTGACTTAGCAAAGGTTTGCAAGGCTGAAAATTTCCTTCTTGGAGTACTTTGTACACCAATGAGCAGCAGAACAATCCTTTTGCCTGGCGTTTTTAACTAGCCCGGTGGCTTTATGGTGGTAAGCAAGTATTTGAGTGGCCCAACTTGTACCACCTTGCCTTGTGCAGCACGGACCTTCATAGAGGTGTCACAAAAACATTTTGGGGGAATTTGATGAGATAATCTGCTGTGGGGCTGCCATACATGAGGGGATGGAGCCTTGGAATTTGAGAGGACATGCATGGCCAGCTGCAGGACATATCGCAGGGTGCTTTTTAGTGACTTCTCTTTGGATAACGACTGAACAGAGTTCAAGGCTCCATCACGCCACCACGTGTGAGGGATCTTTCCGTCGCTTTAGTGAATGATTAATTGTTCTGTTTGGACTAGTTGGGTCATTGCTCCAAGGGGAGCATGCGTGTGGGACCAGCACGTTTCTAGTGCTAGGCCAGCCACATTTGCTGAAGGAACAAACTCTTGTCTCCTTGGAAGAAATAAGAGGATAAGGATGGGGAAGAAAGAAAGAGGGAATGAGAGGAAGCAACAGGTTTTATGCATTTTGGAGTTAATTTCTAACTTTCCTTTCTGAAAACTGCATTCCTGTTACTGGTTTGAAGCTAACCTTTCCTTAAGATGGAGAAAGACAGTCTGAAGCAGCTTCTCCTTTTTAAAAACACTTTGTTGCCGTTGGATTTTTCATAGCTTTTTAGCTTATTTTGGGACTTTATTGATAGCCTGGGTTTTGAGGTGTATGTGTAAAGGTTGTTTATTTAGTGGTCAGCCCCTTGAGATGTCCCTTTTTATGTTAGCCATGCTTTGGTGAGCAAAGTAAGTGTGCTCTTCCCATCACGTACTGCCGGTTGGAGCTCACAGGGGTCAGGCAAGATTATATTTTTCATCACAGAGAAGGTGTTCTACTTTAATATCTATTTAGTAGTAAGAGAGAGATTTGC